ACACACACACACACACACACACACACACACACACACACAGTTTCACTTCCTGTTCTTACAGTAGGTGTTATTGATGATGTTGTTGGGACAGTTTCTTTAGATGTGAACATTCCAATATCTCCATAACTCATAATATGATGTAGTACATATATATATATAATATAATATATATATATATTAAATACTATATTATATTATATATAATATAGTATATATATATTAGTGCTGGGCAACAATTACAATTTTTAATCGCGTGACTTTTTTGCGATTAATCTCATTGTTATGCGCAAAGTTCAATAATGAATTCAAAAGTAGTGTATTGCGCACTTTTATTTTGAAGTACTACTATATGAACAACAGGTCAATAACATTTGGTTTAAACACTTTAAACACATCAGGTTGTTGTTAGCAGCAGTATTCCCTTTACACAGCAGCAGTTATAACACAGTTATAATGATTCTGATCATAGATATTCAGCCGGTGTTCATAACTTTATCTTCATGTGTGTAAGAGATGATATTTAAATATACTTCTTGAAAACTACAAACATATCTACGTCATGTTTTTATGTTTGTTAAATTCTCAGTAGTGATACTAAATGATGCTTATTATACATACTACAAACAAAACACTTTAAAAACTCTAAAACAATAATTTAAATGAATCATTTCTTTGTTGCTTTTTTTGGTATTTAGGTCAGACACATAACAACGCTGATTACCGTAATATGTGTGGTATTTGTTATAAATGTACGTTGGTACATAGAGGGTGATAAGAAGCTGTACATGGAGGGACTTAGGACCCAGGGGAGTGTAGGTGAAGCATGGAACCTGTAGTCTGTACCGTGGCAGTAACCTGCATGAGGAAGTTATGCGAATAAAGAGTTGAGTTAAGAGCAGTTTGTTCTCTCGTGATTATATGTTCATTTAAAAACACCACAATATGTGTTTTGATATTGTCACGTTTGATCCTGTAATGAGACGATTGTGAGCGTGTGTGAGCGTGTGTGTGTGTGTGTGTGTGAGACAGGAGGGACTGACGGTGACGGAGTGAAGGGGGGTTCCGGACCGGGCGTGTCACCCAGTGGGGGGGGGAGTGGCAGCAGCAGGAAGTGATGCCACACAAACAGCTGTTCACCGCGCGCTGCCCGGTTCTTGTGATAAAAATGTCTCTTAATAATAAATAAATAAAACTGCGTTAACGCGCGATAAAATAATTGTCGGCGTTATTAATGCGTTCACGCGATAATAACGCGTTAACTTGCCCAGCACCAATATATATATATATAAGATTATATATTTTCACAGAAAACATGGTCATGAAAACAGATATTTTCCTTTTTGATGCCAACAAAATAAATTCTGATTCCAGATTGCAAGAGAATCAAATCAATTAATGCGTCACATTAACACTTTCTGGATTAATATTTCTGCACATTGTGAATATTATTTATACTCTGAACGTCTCTCAAACACACGTTTCTCACTGCGATTGTTTCTGAAGCACCAATAAACGAAGGTAAACTCTTTGAATGTTCTTCTGATTATTAACAGATCTCAGAATGAGGACGTTACCTGAGTCAGCATCCTCCGGATCTCTCCCAGCATGCCGAGCAACTCCTTAGTGGATATGACACCTGGAGGACACACAGAGTCAACGGTCACACAGGCCTAAATGTGTGTGTGTATGTGTGTGAGAGAGTGTCTGTCTCTGTCTCTGTGTGTGTGTGTGTGAGAGTGTGTGTCTGTCTCTGTCTCTGTGTGTGTGTGTGAGAGTGTGTCTGTCTCTGT